AGCCTTGCTGAGAAACCATGCGCCTTAATGCTGCTCCCATATCCATGCACATAAGCGGTAAGCTTGTGCTGTGTGGACAGATCTCCAGACCAGAAACAGACTCACAGATGATTTCCCTTGTTGATGCTGAGACAGAGATGAAGAGACACTTTGGGAATTCATAAAAGGCTAGCAGCTAATTATGATATTCCATAGCTCTGGGAGTTAGAGATGTGTTGCTTTGGGAAAGGAGGGCAAAGGTATTTGGAGCTTTGTTAGCACAATTTGTAACCATGTTAAAAATGAACCCCAAAAGACTGCCTCAAATAATGCTTCACACTCTTCAGAATCCCTCCCAGGCTGGTGAGGAGGGGGAGCCTTCCCTTCAGTTTGCTTTTCTTTCTTTCCACTCATTCTCCATTATCTGTGCTATGTTAAATGGTGTTACTTCACACAGCTCTCTGCTTTTAGTGGGTTGGGGTGGTACAGGAGAGCAGTCAGAATGGTAACACTGGTTTCGGAGCAATATGCTGCCCTACAAAGTCTGTAGGATTAAATGCATCATTACTGTAAATACATTAGTATACCAGCATTTTGGTTGGGGACCAGACAATTTCAGGACTGTAAATACAGGATGAGTTCAGATAAAATCTTCAGAATTACTCAGTGGTCTGAGTGACTTCAGTTTCTATGAAAAAAGAATTTTGGGTCTAAAAACTGTCCATGTGCCAAACCAAAAAGCTATTACATGTGCATTGCTATCAGGTATATTGTTTATTCTCTTTATTTAGATTTAATATCAAGGGGCAAGAGTGTTATATTTGTAATGATGAGTTTGTCAAAAATGCATTTAGTCATGTGTTTAATAACTCTGAAGCCATGGCTATTAAAAATTATATTTTCTTGCTTGTCAAAGAAGACACAGCAAAAATTTTTAGTACTTTAATCTTATTTTGGCATGTTTCTTAACAACTTTTTTTTTCCTTATGAATTTAACAATATTATTTTTATTTCAGACTAAAAGATTCCAATTTAATGATTGAAGATCAATCCTATAAAATGAGTCCCAAAGCAAAGAGAGCAAAACAGAATTTGGTATCTGAGGACAAAGAGAATGAAGCCATAGACTACTCAGTGCCCATATTCACAGGACGGTATGTTCATTTTGCTTTTGTTTGGTATCTTATTTCTGACATTTTATTAACAAATTAAAAAATAACAAATCCATTAATCTTATTTTTTACACTTGTGGATCTCAAGGTGATTTTTTGCATTTTACATGAGTGATAAAAAGACAAAGATAAGTCAACTGACTGGCAGAAAATCAGACGCTGAGCATCCACAGCCAGGACAAATGAACCTAAGTGTCTGGACTTTGTTTTGAACACGTAGCCAGGTTGACTTTCTATGAAATTTAGATATAATTATCACCCTGCTTACTGGGAACCAGGCAAGCATGTTGTCCACATTATTTACCTTATTCTTTTGGTTTGAAGACTTGTTCTGTAATTCAATGGCTCTTACAAGCATCCAACACAGAAACAATGAAATGTCATGCTAGTGTTTTGTCATGGCACAGGGAAAACCTGGAATGATACCAAATACTTTCTCAAATCATCATAATGATTCATACCGTTCTCACGTGATAGTGGTATTTATTGCATGGTGTCTACTGATGTAATGCATCTTACTGCAGCAGTGTCCTCAGTAAAGCTGAATGTGAACTTTATGTGGAAGCCAGAACCAACATAAGCAAGGAGGCTCTCCTGCCTTTTTTGCGTATGGCATAATGATTTTATTAGGAGTCTCCAGCAATTTGAGCACAGTCACTTGTTCAGACTAATAAATACCAGGGGGTGCCATGGAAAACTGGTTCCTGATTGGAGGCCAAGAGAAAAATTTCTTGCCCACCTGTGGTTGAACAGAAACCTTCCTTCAAACTGTCTTTCTCCTGAAGCAAAGCATTTTTCCTGGGACACCTCCAAGGTGTTTTTGAGAGCCAGTGCTCTTCTGCATACTGCTTAATCAACACCCAATGTCACTTCTGCTTTTTGTCCAAACTTGTGCTTTCCTGTGAAACGGAGTTCCATCTTATCAGTGGGAGATGTTATTGCTTTGGCCTTTTGAGTGTTTGTGAAGCTTTTGTGCTGACACCAGCAGTTTTTGGTTTTATTAATTCCTTCCCAGTATCCTACAGTAATTTTTTTTTTATCACTCCTTCTGCATTTCTGTGTCAGATTCATCGCTTTTTGATCCAACGAACATTCAGAAGCACACACGGTTGCATTTTAAAATAATTTCTTCAGAGTTTCAGCTATATCTTCTGTGACAGAAATACATAAATATGCCTCACACAAATCTTGTGGTGACATATTTTCAAGGCTTTTCAGTATCTTTGCACTTCATCCAGTGTTTCTGCTTATGTGGCAGTAGATTTGCAGTTCACCATCATCTGTCTCCCATGCCCTTAAACACAAATATCCTCCCATTTTTATTGTGTCTAGAGTCTACAAAAGTAAAATTTACAGCATTGGTCAGTAACTGAAAATGTGACTGGTGGCTAGTACTCCTGGATGATGATCTTAGCTTCGTTACAGGCCCTTGTGATATTAACACATCATGTTAACACCTTAACAAATAATCTTCTTTTATTTTCCTTTTTTGTAAAATGAATACAGTAATATTTGACCCATGTGATGATGTGTAACTTCATTTATTTGCGTCTGTGCAATACTTTGGGATCCTACATTAAAAGACACTGTCGGATTCTTACATTATTGTTACTATTCTTCTTCTTCTTACTGTTGGTATTATTCTTACTTTTTTCACATGGCAACTCAGGAAGTTGTGTGTGCTTTTGTGACACTGAAATGACCCAAATAATTTTTAAAAATTAATTAAAAATTTTTAAAAAGGCGTATGAACCAAGGTTTATCCTGGAGAAAAGGCTCAGGGAAGACCTTATCACTCTACAACTACCTGAAAGGAGGTTATAGTGAGGTGGATGTTGGTCTCTTCTCCCATGTAACAAGCAGCAGGACAAAAGGAAATGGACTGAAGTTGTGCCAGGGAAGGCTTAGGTTGGATATTAGGAAAAAATTTTTTACCAGAAGGGTTGTCAGGCATTGGAACAGGCTGCCCAGGGAAGTGGTTGAGTCACCATCCCTGGAGGTATTTGAGAGACATGTGGATGAGGTGCTTATGGACATGGTTTAGTGGTGGACTTGGCAGTGCCAGGTTAATGGTTGGACCTGGTAACCGAAAAGGTCTTTTCCAACCTAATCTATTCCATGATTCTACGATAATTGTTAGGGTACCCAACTCAACATGGCATGAGATGTTTGGGGTACCTCTTTTAGGCTTTTTTTCTGTTGTCATCCTGTTCATGACGGCATGCCAAGATTGCAGAAGTTGCATGCCACATTCCTGTCAGATATTTATTTTTGTTTGAAAGATAACAGCTGAAGCTCATTGAACCATGTGCATGTTCTATGTCACTCCCAAATTCCCCTGTGAAATTGATGTGTTGTTTCCCATGGGCAGATAGCTTTTACAAGAATAGTTATTTATAAAGGTCAGTTCTATGGGTTCATGAGAGCTGCTGCCCGTGCTTCTGGACGACCTTCAGTGCCATGTCACTGTTTCCATTATTTGGTTCTATTTCGGAACTCTCAGGTTCAGCTGTAAAAAATCCCTTGCTCAGATTATTCAGTTCACAACAGTTCTTAAACATCTAACCTAATCATTGAAAAGTAAATTTAAGGCCAGCCAGCCAGTACTCTAGATAATAAAACACAGTTTGATTTAATGCCATAGGTGATAAAAACACTGGATGTGGTTCATGAAACTATTTGCAACCACTAATAAGCCTATGCCAAAGAACTGCAGATGGCAGATACCCTTTAAATAATACTTTATATGTTCCATTTGGGGATTAATCCTGTTATTTCTCTTTGAAAAGTGTTTTCTACTGAAATCCCTGAGACTTGACTGCAGAATCAATTCTTAAATGGTACTGCCTGCTGTTTCTGATGCATTCATCGTATCAGAGAACATGTTTCTCTTTGATCTGGGAAGATTATAACAGGAAGAAACGATTAGAAAATCTAAATATTTAATACTGTTGATCAAAAGCATCTGGGGACCACTACTGCAGATGACTAGGCTGAGTCCTATATTAGTCTGAGGATATTCATCAGCTCACAGAAAATGTCTAATGCCTTGAGGAGCGGGTCCATACTGTGAAATTGCTGAGATCTTAACTACTGTATTTAAAGGGGAAATAATGCCAGCTTGCCTTTGAAAAAAAAAAAAAAAGCCACTGAGTCATTTAAACTGAATGTAGATAGCTAAATCCATATTTTTAAGCTGAGCTTTCAAAATTGTCTTTAGAAATCTCTGCCATATCTCTGCAGCTTCAGATGACATTTGGTGGGGGAAGGAGCTGATGTGCCTAAGTGAAGGAAATCAATCATCCCACTGACACTTTTAAGTATCATCCTGTTAAAGCAGCCTGAAACATAGAAAGTTCAAGGTAGAGTTTGAAAACATGAGGGAGGTCAAGGTTCTATGCTGTTAAGTAAGTTTTTTTAATCTTTTGAACAGTTTTTATACATAATAAAGTTTATAGCACTTTCCACTGCTTGGCTGTCTTGCATCTCACCAAACTGACTTCATAGCCCAAAGATAAGGGGCTGGACATTTAAATATGGGCTTGAATCCAAATTTTATTGAGTGTTGAGATGTGCTATCAAATGCATAATATTAGAAATCTTAAAGAAAACAGAAAAAAAAACCCCGTTCTTCCTAATTTTTTGACTTGTAGCAGTATTAAGTGTTTTATGATAAAATAGCGAGGCTGTGTTTGAGTGCATTCTGGAAATAAACAGAGGCTGCTCTCTCTATAGTGCTTGCACAATGGCACTTAATGAGAACTTAAACAGAACTTCTCTTCATTGTGCCATCTGATGTTAAGCTAAAATAACTAAACTCAGCAGCAGGATATTGATGCTTCTCCTTAAGTCAAGGAACTCTCATTGTATATGAACTATTTCAGCAGCTATAATGTCCCGACGGTGCCAAAAAGTATGGCTGCAATGGTACTTCTGTATGTGCATATGGTAACAGGGCTGGACCTGTTGAGAGTAACCAGTTGAGAGTAACGTTCTTTGCATTTCATCTCTGTAGAAAACCTGAGAAGGGTGCTTCAAGAAAATCCTTAATCATTTTGAAAACATTTGGAAGAACAGTCACACTACAGACATTACAGGATTGAATTTTCTGTGAATAAAGAGAACATTTTGTGATATACATTTATGTTTTTGTTCATATAAATCCTAAATGAAGACACTTATTCAGCTGCAGTTATCTCCCGCCCCTTTTGTAGTGTTATTATGAATGCTCCAGCTGTACGTAAGTAACTGAAGCTCAGTGGGTATGCCTTACACTAATCTTTATAGCGATGGAGATATAAAACCACAGCAGGATAATGGTTAAACTGAAAATGTGGATGTCATGGTTACACAGAGAAGCACTGAAAATGGCCGTGACTTTAGACATTGAAATACTCAGACATTCTGCAGTACCCTTCCCTGTTTCTGCTTTGAATAAGTACAAGTCTGCAATAGCAGAAATATGCTAAGAAAGTGTTGGCCACTGTACCTGGCTAACTTGATAGAGAGTATAAATGGAACATGTTTTCAGCATTTCCTAATGGTATTCTGCTTTTTAAAAATTCTTTCAGAGAAGTGAGTGTCAGTGGGATCACAGACACGGAAGAAGAAAGAATCAAAGAAAGTGCTGCATACGTTGCCAAGAGGAATCTTTTCGCCACAGGTGAAGGAGTTAGGGTCAGCAAAGTGGCCAAGAAAACTTCCGAAGAGGAACATCATGAAAAAAAATCAAGGAAAGTAGCAATCCGGGAGTCTGCTGAACGTGTCGCTCTGAAGAAAACGGTAAAGGAGTAGAAATGAACACCTAGGGTGTAAACAGCGTGGGCCTTTTTTGTTTGGTGTTTGTAACATGCCTAGCACAGCTGCACCCTGATTTAAACCACGGGCAATCACAATTATGGTAGTAAAATAACAAACTATTTTCAATGGAAGCCTTTTTGATGACTTAAAGTCATGTTATCTTGGTGTCAGGTCAATAAGAATAGAGGTTCAATGCCTGAGGAAGGCACCAGGGACTCTTGAGCTGGGAGAGAGGAAGGGAGCATGGGGCCAGGGAATGCTCTCTGGTCATGTCCATACTTAATTAAATGGCACAGCACCCTTCACCTGAAAGATGAGGCAGTTACTGGCAGAGAAGAAAGGTGCCAATATATGTAACTTGCCAGTAAGGAGGTGATGGGGTAATTTTTTAATTTTGATAACTTGGGAACAAGATTGTCCGAAGTGTTTACCCCGGAGTTTTAATCACAAGGTGTAAATTAGGGAGGAAATTACCAAAGACATCTGGAACTGTATCTCTAGTTGTGGGTAGCTTTGATATTATTGTGAAACTTCTTAAAAATAATGTTCAGAGGATAGTTGCAAATATGTTATAAGACTGGCAAAATATATCAAGTGCAAATATGTTTCATTTAGCAAATTTATTAATGTTCTGAGCAGGAGAATTGATGATATGCTTATAAAATATGCTCATGACATG